TTATTCAAACTGGAGTGATATATGCATGTACTAGATGGTGCTATTTATTAGCGAATGGCCTCATGGCAAGTTATTTTCTGTTTGCAATTTCATGCTGTTAGTGCCTGTCCTCTTAATTCAAAAAAAGAGTAGTATTTATTTACTTTTAATGTAACTAGATGTGAGTCTAATAAATGATTAATAAGTAGATCTTTTTTCTATGAATTATATACACATATATATATATATATATATTGATATTGATAATATTGATTAAGAATTATATTTATAGTAAACTAAAACCAGATTTCCTTGAATTTACACCTTTTGTGAGAAGTAGTCTCTTAAGAACCTTGCAAGCTTCTTTCCCAGTTTGCATCGACGAGGAGACTAGAGATACGGAACTTTTTCTGAAAGAGCACTTTAGGCCCAAACATAAATATAAACAGCACTGTGCAAGAAAATGTTTGTGTGTGGGGGCTATATAGTTGGGCCTGGAATAATTGAATTTTTAATAAAATTTGTTTTTCTCAAAATGGTTAAAATGAAGAATGGTATGTTGCACTCATGGGCTTTTCTTGGCCTGTGACACTTCATGGGCTTTTCTATGGCCCGCTACAACTCAGGGTTCAAGCAAAACGACCATTGATGGGTCATCTGATTCCAATGCAAACCGTATATTTGATTTTTGGGTACAACGCAAACCGTATATTTGTTACGTCTGCGCAAAACATCGATCATTGATGAAGAATGGGCCATGTTGAGAGGGATTCGAGCGGCCTGGACTTTGGGAAACAGATTCGGAATCAACATTAAATCCTCCTAGGCACTTTGTGGGAGTAAAGGAAGAACTGCTAGTTCAGTATTCGCAACAATCAAAAGATTAGAGTTTTTATTGAGAGAAGTATTCACATTTAATATTTAATTATACCTTAAACATGATTGCCTTAGAAAAATAATGATGATAAGCAACCAAAAAAAAAAAGATATTCTAGGAAAAACAAACACTTTCATTGCAAATTTAAAAATTTGATGGGACTCATTTGAGGACATGTTCTGAAAGCTCAGTAATATAATAAAAATTAAAAAAAATTAATCCTTCAACATATATAATTTTGATTTGAATACAATTCAATTTTAAAATTTAACTTGATCCCCTAGGTTTTAAGCTATTTTAGAGAATTGGTTCCTACACTTTTAAAAAAGATGTAATTCGTTTGAGGATTGAGTTGTAACTTAATCATAAACCAACAAATTAAATGCCTAAAACTTGAAGAATTGAATTGAGTTAAATTGTGAAAAGTGAATTGTGATCAATTTTAAAGTATGAGGTCTATATGATTATTTTTTTTCTAGTAAAATAAAAAAGATAGTTGAAAAGAACATAGAAAGTAAGTGGAAAACGGATTGCCATGTCAAGAACAAGGAGACTTAGGTTTAGGTTCAGGTCTTCAGGATGATGAGCTCATTTTTGTTTCTAACCAATGAGATAGAGCCCATATGATTTTACAATTAAAAAATATTCATGATAGAGATTTGCATGGCATTAAAATTTAGGTCAACCCATTATTGAATTAGTCTTTTGATCAATTTAATAAAATAGTTTGTTTGTGATTTATTTAATCACAGTTCAACTATTAATACTTTGGCCAATTCAATAACTTGTCTTGTTTTCAATAATATGAAAATTTATGATGAAATGTTTAGAAAAATCTCCTTAGAAAATTGGTTTTATGATTCATTATTTCATTACAAGATGGATTAACAACAGATTTTGCAACAGAAAATTTTTATGATGTCGTAATTTCAAGAAATATGGATAATAATTATCAAATATAGGGGAAATTTTATTTTTACGATCTTAAAAAAATCCAAATTTTAATCTAATTATAAAAATGAGAAATGACTAAATGAGGTCCATTACTAATAAATAATGTGACCTATTAGAATTTTATTATTATATATAAATTGAAAGCTATTTTTTATAAATCGAAATCATGTAGATGGAACAAATAATGAAGTCCTTCAATTCATGAGTAGGCAAATGGCTATCCAATAAAATAGTAAAACCCTAGCCCCTTTTTGGTTAAAAAGGAGGAGAAATACAAATGATTTCAATTTTTTTTTAAAAAAAGAGATAAGTAGGGGTTATAAAATTTTAATAAAGAAAATATGAAAATCAAAAGAGTAAGAAAAACTGTTGATATAAAAGAGAGTAAGAAACGTTAAATAAAAATATTTTAATCCCGGTTCTCATTTTTATAAAACCAAACTTATATTAGAATCTCTCCTCCAATTCCCTCCATCCAAACAAACAAAGCCTCAGAACGAATCCCAGTTCATTCAAACAAGAGGTGAGACTAAGGTCTGTTTGGTTTTTGTTTTCTAAAGCTGTTTTTTTTTCCTTAAAAAAAACTTGTTTGAATAAATATTAAATTGTTTTCACTTTTTGTTTTTAAGCTTGTTTTAATTTTTTTTTACTTTCAAAACAGACTACATTTAATTATAGAAAAATATATTTAGTTACGTTTGATCATTTTTTATTATAAACTACCACCATTAACCACTTGCCATCGTTACCACGAGATTATTTTTTAATTTTAAAATTATTTTTAAATTAACATAATCAAATAGATTTTTATGTTGTTTTGTTTTGAAAAACAATTCTAAAAATTATATTGCAAAATATTTTTTAAAAATAAAAAACGAAAAAAAAAACCAATCAAGCCCTAAACTTCTATGAACTCAATTCAAGAGCTAAAACAATCCTTGTATATGTTTAGGATCTCACACTAAACTTTATGAACACAATACACTAAAGTTAACGAACTCCTTTAATACCAACAAAAATTGATTCAGTTGATAAGTATTTAATCTATAACCTTTGTTGATAAACAATGTGAAAGTACCTTTCAAAGTACTTCTAAAGCTTAGAGGTATGCATTGGTCTTGGTAAACTCCCAAACCCAACTCAGCTTAATTTTATTTTATCAAAAACGCTAGCTCCCTTAACTAATTCTAATACTTCCAACAGATTTAATTTACAATCACCCGATCAAGTTAAGATATATCTATAAAATGGTACAGTAATATATATTCGGAGATAATAATAAATGATTTAAATTTTTTTGTAACATTGAAAAGATGATCTGGGAATATCGAGAGAATGAATAATAACTAAAATATATATATTTACGCGATCTTAAAAAAAAACTTTGGGATATTGAATTATAATTATGATACTTTGACTAGCTTGAGAAAATTGTGATTAGAATTAATGAAGGGCGTCAAATGACAGGAGCAGGGACAAAGATTCTGGCAAATTAATGTTAATGTTGTACACTTCACTGTTTGAGATTCGTTTGGTGTAACCTCTTTTGGTTCTTTCACCTACTCATTGTCCGTTTTAATCTCCAGACTGGAGAGCACGACACTGAAATTTTAATTACCTTAAGGTTAAAATATATTTTTAACCTTCTAATTTTATATCAAATTTTAATTTGATACTTTATTTTTATAAAGTATCTTTTTAATTCTTTAATCATAAAACTGTTAGTTTTAAATGATTATTTTTTTATTAATCAATAGTATTTTAAAAAAATAAGTTTAATATATCAATATTTAATAATATTTTATCAATATTTAAAAGTTTAATGTAAAAATTTGTTGAGATAAAACTAACAGAGTTAAAAAAAAATTTATAAAATTAAAAGACTAAAATAAATTATTATGTAAAATTAAAAAACTAAATATATACTTTAACCTTAACTTAACTAACAACGAACTCTACTAGCAAGCTTTTTATTTTTATTGTTATGGCGCTGTCTCTTACTCTCTTTGTCTATATATATAAGAAATCTTTTAAATTTTTTTTGGTCCTTAAATATAAGATGTTGTTAACATATTTTTTTAATAAATGAACTATTATATTCTTATTAAATTAAAAAGAGAAAAACATAAGTACTTTCATTAATTTAATTTAAAAAAACATATTTATGTTTCATTTACAATAATTAGAGATAAAATTAAAATGTTGCTGTGCTTTTAATTAAATAATTAATTTTTATTGATTTGTGTAATTTAATTAAAAATATCTTATATATAGAAAGGGAGGGAGTACTATACTATTACTCTATTATTAAACCACTGGTGGGATCACTTCCTAAACCAGATGCATAGTGTTATATATAATTTAGGCAACCCTACCACCATCCACTAGCTAGATAGTAGCAAAGTGAGGAAACTTATCGATTGAGGGTTTATTGCATTAAATAGAATTAAGTAAAGATAAAAAAATTTGGCTTGTCAATATATAGTTTTAAGAATAATAAAAGAGACGAGAAGTTATATTTATGTAGAAAGACGACAAAGTAAAGATATTGTAATGTATGTATGTATATGTATCTCACTCTCGTTCCATTTGTCAAACCCACTGTTCATTCCTTTCTTTCCCCACTTTGTTTTTTTTTTCCCCCTTTCACGAGACAATGAGGGCCATTAAGAACTCGATTACATTAAAGAGGAAATAAGACAATCCGTATCCTCGTTATTAATAAAAGCAACCACAAAAAAGTGAATAGAGAAAAGGCTTTAATTTAGACATAAGCATGCTAGAAAGCTATGCGCACATGCATGAACATCTTCGTTATATTCGAATTCAATGAGCATAGTTTCGATATCTTAAATATTCTCACTTAATAAATATCTCACGTGGCACTATAGAGATCATTGATTTCAACATACTGGCTAGAGAAGATATGTAGCACAAGATGTAGAGAAAACACATGATCACAGCTCTACCTTTTGTGTGCCATATAACTTAATCCAATTGTTCATATAACTATAGCAATAACTGTGTCTTGATAAAACTGTCCTTTGACCAAACCTTTCACTAATTTTTGACTAGGTATGAGATTACAAATGCTAATAAAATCCTACCATTAAAGTGTGAACACTCATTATATGAAAGTATTTGAAATACTCGAAGAATCTAGATCCTGACATCTTTGGGAGTGTTGAGAGAATAGGAATGAGAATTCATGAAAGGAGTAAAATCAGACAAGATACAAATGAAAGACGATGTCGTCGAGAATTCAAACTTCTCATACACAACAATAATAATTGTCAATGTTGTGACTCCTCTCTCTCTCTCTCTCTCTCTCTCTCTCTCTCTCTCTCTCTCTCTCTCTCTCTGTCACTCAAATTTCATGAATTGCACGAAGTACACCCTCTCCTGCTAGCTATCGATGTGGTGTTTATATAATGAACATCAATATCTCATCACATGTTTATGCATGTGCGTGTACAAGGGTGTGGCTTATAAGGAAGCTACCACAAGAAACTGGTAAGCTGAGAAGGAGGAGTCTGAGAATCTTCGAGGTCATTGGAAGGAGAGTGAGCATGTCTTCCTTCATATGTTGTTATCACCATCCTTGGATCCTCTGCTAGCCTTTCCACCCTCTTCTTCACCCTACAATTATCTTGTGTGCACCGATAGTAGCTCCTACGTAGGCTCGCAAACAACAACATTAATCATTAATTACACAACACACACACACATTGTTGCCGTCCTTTGCTGTACACATACACACAGGGGACTTGGCATAATATATGCATGAAGAAATGCGGTTCAATTCAGAGAACCACGAGGCCTTGGTTATAATATATACCATTTTAATAGATTAATCCAATTGGTTGAACTGATGCATTGAACCATTATCTAGACTAGTTCAATGAACATTTTTTTCATGATAAATCTAACCACACTTTGAATAGAATGTTACTTATTAATTATTAAATTAATATGTTAACTGATTCAATGATTGATTTAGTGTTCAAGTGTAGCATATTTTGACATGCCGGTGCATTGATCTTTGAGATATTCAACGTCTAATTATTTCAAACACATCACGAGATTTAAGAGGGAAAAAATGGAAAGGCTGAATAATATGGCATGTCCGTAATCATTTTCAAGGGCACGAAAATCTAAAAAGTGCGGTTTCTGGCGTTCCGTCCGTCCGCTTGAGTGTAAATTACTGGATTTTTTTACCTTCTTTTCTTCTTGTTCATTAAATTCCTTATGCTCTAACGTATATACTTTTTTGGCCAACACTCTGACATATATACTATACTATGAGCTTCATCATATGCATATATGAGACTAGTAATTAACCATCTTTTATTCTGCAACATTGTCAGACTTCTTTCCCCTTAGACAGGGCCAAACCAAACAGCTTTTCAACTTTCTAATTTTTTGAAAAACCCTTTTTATATATGTTACATATTCTATAAGGGATTCTAACTTTGACATGATCCTTTAAGCACTACTTATTCTGTGAGGGTAATCGTCCCCATGCTACTCAATAAATTAAAATTTGGCAGAAGCAGTGCTAGAAAAGCCAAAAACAATCATGATAAACCTAATGAAAGATGGGATGGGAGAGAGAAAACATGCAGAATCTGCGTTGGGATACAACCGAAGGTTAATCAAGTACGTATATAGATACACACACACATGCTTTTAATAATTACATATTTTTGATTGATGCACAATATAGATACTTATTAGTTATTAATCAAAGGAGAAGTAAGAGTAGAAATACAATATACCTGGGATGATGAGTGTTCTTGACAACTTTCTGGCCGTACTTCCTCCACTTATAGCCATCGTCCAAGACATCGACATCGCTCATTGTCTTGAAGCAAAACCTGGGTTCTCTCACCTTCCTTCTTCCCTTCATTGATCTCTTCATCTTCATCGCAGAAACCCCATGTTGATGATGATCATGATCACCTTCTCCTAATTCACTTCTCTTACAGTCACTCTCTTCTGATCCCCATGCCCTATATATATATATATATATATATATTAATCGCATGGTCCCACAAATCAATTCTCTCTTTCGCTATATTACATATGAAACTTCAACTGGCTAGACTTGATTAAAACTTTCATGGTTTTACTGATAAATTATTGAAAAACAAGCGATATGAGGATATGACTAGGGTTATATATATACACTTGATTCTGTTCAAGAAGGATAGAGAGAGGGGGGGAGAGAGAGAAGCAATCTTACCATGGATTTAGAGAGGATCTATGGAGGGAAAGGAGCTGAGTGATGTCTTCTCTGATTGGTTTATGAGATGTGAAAGAGATATGTGTTTCAGGTGTTAGATTTGGTGTTGTGGTAGCAGTAGAATTGGAAAGTGCAGCTTCAGATATTGCAAGTGATGAAGACGGAGCAGATATTTCACTGAAAGATTTCAAAGCTGGTAATTGATGATGATGATTATGGAAATAAGTTCCCATTACGGGAGGGAAATTGAAGCCCAGGTTTACTGGGAAAGAAAGCAGACCCATCTGATCCTGATCATAAAACAAGCTCTGGTTCGTCACAATACCCTGAGACGTCGTCGTCGTTGACATCTCTCTATCCTTTCTATCTGATCTCACAGCCAGATCTGTAGAATTTCAAGATCGAGCTTGATGATGATCTTCTATCTAGGGCAAGAGGCTCGAAGTCTAATATATATATCTATATATATATATCAAATGACCAGTTTCGTTCTCGCTTCAACTTCGACGACGAGCTGATCGATATAACGTCGTCGTGAAGCCACTTTACCTTTTCGAAGAGAATGTAGCTCTCAATTTTCTTGTCTTCTTATATATAATAAACATGTGAAGGGGTGGGTAAGGGGTAGGAATTAATGAGACAAGTGGACGAACTAATTCAAATTACTTCAAAAAAAGTCGTCTCATATATACTTTCGATATATATATATATATATATCCTTCCATTTTAGGTTTAATTTCTTTGTAACATAATATTTCGGGTCAATCCCTCTGATTGAACTAGTTTTCTTTAGCCCAAGAAAATGCTTAACTTATGGGATCATAATTTAACTATGCTTTTGACTTGCTTGGTTCTGTTTATTTAGCAAGAGATTTTTTTCTTGACTTTTTTCAATTTTTCAACCAAAGCTGGCGGTTTGGACATATGGGAGTGATACATGTACTGCAAAAGGCTTGAAAATTCCATGTCCTTCATGGTTGGTGGAATTTTACTGTAGTGTATAGGTCAACAATACACGACAAATAGAGAGGAGAGAATGCAAAAAAAAAAACAGGGAGGGAGAGAGATTGAAACTGGTGTTACGGATTTGCCCTTGAAGTTGTATGAAATTTCCATGAAGCGACAGTTTGTGGTTACTGTACAAATGATTATTTGAAACGGGCAAAAGCTAAATCTGCTGAGTGCTCAATAATAGAAATGGATCCACACATACAAACACACAGATATTGCCAAATGTATCAAATATAATTAGTGAGAGTTATGATTAACTCACCTTGTTCACCACAAGATCTTCTTTAAAAAGCACAAAAGAGAGGGAGAGCGGGGTGATATATACACATTTGTACACACACACATACACACATATCACTTTCTAGGGTTTCTTTTTCTCTTTTGAGTCGTTTAATATAAAGATGAAATCTCTCTCTCTGGACACCATGATATGAAAAAGATTTAGTTAGAACTTTAATTTGAAGAGCTCGAACTTTAAAAAAATAAGAGCTTTTAAATTCTTTTATATCAATTAATTCCTTCAAAAACATTGCCATGAGCAAAATGCATAATAACTAGCAGCGTCTTCTCGTTATGCCATTATTACTTGTTTTTTTAACGCGTTTTCTTGGTCCATTGGTTCTTCAGTGTGGTTTTTAAGGTTCTAATTGTTTTATTCTTGGGAAAAACACAATCTTTGGTTTCAATTGTTTTATTAAGTTTTGATTTTAATCCCTATAATTTTTTTCAATGTTTTTCGTCTTCATAAGAATTAAAAACACTGAAAAATTTGAAATTATAGGAACATGAAAAACAAATATTACCAAATTTTTTTGAAACTATAAAAATTAAAAAAATGTAGGAACTAAAACTAAAAACCTAATAAAATTATAAGAGCTGATAATTGTATTTTCTCTTTATTCTTTGACCCTTGTCTAACAGGGGGGATACGAATTGCTCCAATTCTTATTAATATTTTTAAAAATATTACAACACATGAAAATATTATATAACTCCATATAAAATGTCTCTTTAAATTGAACTAAATTGGAATACAAGTAAAAGCTCTCTGCAGGTCTCAACAGCAATTTTAATTTGTCTGGTTATATTAATCAATGCCTATAAATAACTTATTAATTTAAAGATGATTGTATTTATTAGAGACTTGATTGAGAGTAGTATTTGTCTTTTTTTATAAATCTTATTAAATCAAAAACAATGTTTTAAAGATGGATGAATGACAATGAAAGAATCTTGGGTGCAGATCTATCACATATATCTTTGCATCGGCGGTGAAGATATGATTATCATGATGTGAAAGAGGCCGAATTGACTTTTTTGCATCAAAAAAGCTCATCGCCTTTTCTCAAACTCTCTTTTTCTCTTTTAACTTTCTTTTAAATCTCTACATCGATCTAAGCCCACTTTCACTCACCTTTTCTCTCTCAAATTCCAAAACCACCTTGTAGTGTGTGTATATATATATATATATATAAATATAATTAATTATAATTAATAGTATTGCCAGGTAAACTTAATGATTAAACCAGTAAATTATTTAACTAACATCTTCATGGGTTTAATGAAATATTCTTTCTATCTTAATTTATAAAATAAATTTAAAAAAAATTATCGTGCTAATAGAGTTTATTAAATACACTTTTTAACATTATTTTTTTAAAATAAAAATATATATTTTTATAAATACCCTTCATTTAATATAATTTTAAATGATTGAAGAGATGGAGAATAATAAAGATTAAATAAGGAAGGATAACATTAAAAAAATATATTTAATAAAATTTTATTTTTATTAAATTATCTTATAATTTGAAATGGAGATCATAATTTATTCACATTATCAATCTAATTATAATTTTAATCGTTAACCCTTAAATCAATATTTTAAATGGTTTATTGATGAGTCTGATTTTCAGTTGATATGTATTTATGCACACATCCTTATCATCACTTAATATTAATTAGCTTTCTTTTTGGAGGCAAACATCAATTACTACTAACTTAATTCTGACAATCATATCTTAACTTTATCTCATTTGTTATGTCCAAATTAAATATTTTGTGGACCAGGCTTGCCATTCAAACTTTTATTACCTATCTGAAATTTACCATAATTCTCAATAATTACAATGTGTTGAATGCTTTGATTTGTACTTATCATCTTCTTGTTAAACTGATCGCATAAAATGATGAACTTCTTTCATTTGCAGAAATTAATGAATGAAATCAAAAGTTGCTGCTGAGTAAGAATTACTGTGTTGAAGTTATAAGAGGATTTAATGCTTCATTTGATTATGAAATCAGTGAAAAATTATGATGTAGTCAGTTACTCATGAGTTTTAATGTGAAACATTAATTATTAGATTATGCCGGAAATCGTTTTCATATCTTTTTTGTGTCAAGAGCCATCATTGACCTGACCAATTAATGCTTTGAAAAATTAATCAAAGTCAAATTTTTATTTTTTTATCAAAAATAATTAAATCAATTGTTTTGTTAAGAGAAAATCAATTTATAATTCAGTTATTCAAATGCAATCAATTAAGAGTAAAATTATTTGTTAAGGTTATATTACATTATTACACACGATTTTTTAATAATTATATTAATACTTCCTCCGTTAAAAAATGTAAGGTATTTTTAACTAAATTTCACCCTTAATATAGTAGTTACTTATTTTTAAACTAATTTTATTTTTTCATATTTATCCCTATAAATATCATAAAATAAATATAAAGTAATTTATTTAATAGAAATACTTTTGAAAAAAAAAGAAATGATTACACCTTAAAAACTAAAAATGCCTTATATGTTTAACATTCATCACCTTAAAAATGCCTTACATTTTTAAATAGAGAGAGTATATGTTATACAATATTTCAAATTAAAGATACTGATATACATCAAACTTTATATTTATATCTTAAACTAGAATTTCTCTTTTTTAATAAATTATCAAATAAAACATTGATGTCAAAGTTAATTATAAGTATGATTAGTATTGAACCATCTGCATATACCACTCCTAATTTTGTACATGAAACAAATCTAGATGAAAAAAATTTATTCTATATCCTTCACATCACAAATGAAATGAAATTAATCTGTCTTTGGCAAAACGTACTCTCCCCGACCACACAAAAAAAAAAGGGAAAAAATTTTAGTCTAGACCCCTTGATCAAATATAATAAAAAAAGAGCCCTTTAAAATCTAAAATTTTATTGTAGACCAAAAGTAGTACTTCTTCCCGAAAGCAATCCTGCAAATCAAAGTTCCTGTAAAAGACCTTATAGTCTCGCTTAATTGATTACTCTGCAACTTCATTTCCACCATATTATCACCTTGTCTATCTTCTTTCTCCATTTCTTTGCTCTGGCCAGTCTAGCTCAACCCTTTGAATCCATTTTCTTTTTGGTTTGCTTATTGGATTTTTTTTGTTTTATTTTTAATGTTACAACAACCCTAAAATATATTTAAGAAAATTAGTTCCCCTTAATTTCATTAATACGTTTCTTATGAGTTATCAGTCACAGATTTTTTTTTTTTTTTGGGAATGGTATCATCGAGTTCATAGTTAATTGTAACTATTTTATTTAAGAATTTATATTGTGTTTGCGGGGGAGAGGGGTCGAGGATGCCATAAAATTCATAGTTCAATCTCGCCCAAGTTCAACAATTTTGGTATAGGAAATTTACAATTTTATTTACTATGATAGCATTATTGTGAATAAAAGTAAGTAAAGTTATGTACACCAACAACTCCTATAGAAAAATTAACTATTTCAGTATGAGAAATTTATAATTATTTTAACCATAATAACAACATTAAGAATAAAATTAAATGAAGTTATGCATATAAATAACTTCCGTAGAAAAAATAACCATTTCAATATGCATAATGAACAACTATAGTATGGGGTATTTGCAACTTTTTTACCATGACAACAATATTAAGAATAAAATCAAGTAAATCTATGTACACACACAACTCTGTTAAGAAAATTAATAAATTCAATATGAAAAATGAATAATTTCAATATAAAAAATTTGTAACTTTATTTACTGTGATAACAAAGGTTTAAATGAAAACAAGTGAAGCCATGCACACCAACAACTTTATTGAAAAAATTAATCAATGCAATATAGAAAATGAACAATTTCAGTATCAAGAATTTGCAACTAATTTTACTATGATAACATTAATAAAAATAAAATCAAGTATAAAAGCTATGCGTGCAAATAACTATTGTAAAAAAATTAATCACTTTACTATGAAAAATGAATGACTTCAATGTGAGAATTTGCAAGTGTCTTTTAATAGGCTGAAACCATGCACTAAGAACAAGAAGGTAATTTTAGTTTGCATTTTAATTTCATTTCACTGCTGCTAGTTTGCAACTGCTGTTAGTTTGCAGTGAAATTTTAAATGGGCTCTTTTTTTTTTATATTCAATCAAGGGGTTAAATTGAAATTTTCCCAAAAAAATAATACATACACGCAGACAGTAAAAGTCATGATTAATTCATCCTGCGGTATTTTATCGT